AATAGTTGTTGATGATGTGGCGTAATTAAAATGATGATGATGATGATGACAATAAACAGTGATGATAGATATGGGATGGGGATGTTTTTTTCCCCACTTGGTTACAAATATTTATAATTATCATCACACACACACGCAGACATTCAGCATAATAGGAATATTCAAAGTAAAATTGAAAAAAAACAACAAACTTTTTATCCCATTCTAACATTGTATATTTTCGATAATTTTATAGTGACAAAAAAAAATGAAGAAGAAAAAAAATTAATATGATCTCACTTTTCTCTCACTTTTTTTTGGCCAATTTTTTGCTGGTTTCATGTATCCACAAAAAAATACATTGAATTTCATGTAATGAAGCGTTATTATATAATATGAAACCAAAGACCATATGATGGTGGTGATGATAATCATAATCATCATAGATGATAATCAATTGTCCTGTATGGGGAAAGCAAGCAAGCAAAACAAAAACAACTCCCACTTTCATCATATATGGATGATGATGAACGATCTTTGTCGATCTGGCCTCCTGGTACGAAAATGGGCGCTAACCGATGATAATCATTGAAAATTCTAGTTGTGTGTGTGTGTTTGTATGTGGTTACACTAAAGCATTGAAAAAAATGTAGAAAAAACGAAACGAATATATATCATATATACGCTCTAATTGAATTGATTGATTAATCACGCAACTGATCGATACTAATTTAGTCTTTTTCTTCTTGCTGATTTCTTTTTTTTCCCTTTTTCATTCTTGCACATTTATTCGCTTGGTTGATTGGTTGGCTTTTTTGTCGGGTTTGATTTTTCTTTTCACGTTTTATTTTTTTTACGCAATCTTGAATTTCGATACCATACTTATCTACATACAGAAACACGGGAAAAAATGGAATCTTTCTTTGCAAATTTTCTTGATTTTTCACCCTCACTCGCTCTACTATTTCGGAAAAACGAATAAGAATTTCATTTTGATTTTGATACAATTGACAATATATACAATATATGTTTGGCGCATATAAAAATAGTCAATGATAACGAAGAGACCGACACAGGAAAGAAAAAAAAATCCTTAATCTAATTATTGCCTTGTTCGGGTTTTCCGGGCTATGGATTTTTTTTTCGTTCCGAATATATATGTAATAGAAGAATCAAAAAATATTTTTTTTCAAAATGAAAACAAAAAGCAAAATAAGTTTGTAATTTATAAGTTTCAAATGAAATAGCAAAAAAAAAGAAAGAAAAATTTCCTAGATGGTTCAATCAAGAACTACAAATTATTGCAATATATATTCATTTTTCATATTGGTCCGGCTATTTTTTTCAAAAAAAAACCAACCATCTTATATTTTGGATATTGTTTGTATTGATTAATTATGTCAACTTAATGTCGATCGAATTTTCTTTTTCATTGTGGGGAGACAAATTTGTTCAAGATACATCTTGTGTGCGTGGGTGGCTGTTTTTTTCCGTTATGATCAATGTTTTTTTTTGTTTTGTCTTTTTTTTTCTCTTTATTCTTTTTCTTCGGTAACCGTAGCCCAAAGCCAGATTAGAACGTGAGGTCACGTTCAATGTATGTGTTGTATGTGCTGTGTGTATTTTCTGTCATCCAAAACATTTTTACAATATATAACAAATGAATACGTTTATTGTTTAGTTTGTGGGTTTAAAGTTTGTTTTGCATCCAAAGAAAAAAAAGACAAAACAAAAAATGATGATGATAACAATAATGATTCGAGGAAATAAGCCTGTTACAACAGTAACAACAACAACAACAACAACAAAAAATGAAAAATTTGAGTTTGGTAGATTATGACAAGGAGACAGAGAGAAAAAAAAGAAGGAGGAAAAAAAGTTTCCATTTCGTTTATCCGGTTATCTATCTTTTTTATTGATTAATAATATTTCTCTAACTATATCTAGGTTGATTTTGTTTTCTATTTTGTTTCTGAAACAAAAGACAAAAAAAACTAGCATTTTCTCTTTTTCTTATAAATCAATTATAAATTACAATTCGATGATGATAATGTTCATAGAGATTTTGTTTTGTTACTTCGACCATAGTTTCAACAAACAGAATGGGAAAAAAATGTTTCGAAACTAAAAAAGAAGAGATTATTTCAAGATTTAACTCATAATAATAAACAACAGTAACTCATTCATTCATTCATTAACCCATCATCCATCTATTCCGTTCACTATATACTCCCACACAGACATCACATCATTTCAAAAAAATTTGAGATAGCAAAATAATTGTTTTTTTTCATATATTTTGAAAATTGTTTTGTGTAAAACAGGAAAATTTTTCATTCATTCTTGGTAAAAGAATTTACTATTGTTTGATAATATTATATTATGTTCATAATCATCATCATCAACAACAACAACAAAGTCAAACGAAGTTAGGCTTTAATATTTTTCTAGTTTTGTTTTGATTCAAGAATCTAGATTATATTGTTATATTGTGTCTCACACAGTATGTCCTGGATATAGACAGAGCTGTAGTATTTATGAAAGTATATTAAAGTGAATTATCAAAAAAAACGAGTTGATTTAAAGCCAAAGCTCCTTGTTAACACTATAGGCGCCAAAAAATAATATAAACAAGAAAAGAAAAAAATTGATGCTACTGTTTTGGTTCGTTGATTACAGGCTGGAATTATTATTATCATTAGTATATTGTTTATTATTGTCGATGTCATTTTCATCTCAATTTTTTGTTGTTGTCGTTGTTGTCATCGTTGATTCATAAATTAAAAAAGAATAAATGAGTAAATCTCTTTTTTTTTGTCTTTTACTATACTACTACTAATACTCTACAACTACCGTTATAAACTTTTCGGTCTTTCACAATTTCATTCCAAAAAAAATCCGACGAAAATAGTTTTTTTTTTGTATTTTTCAATTTTTTGGAATATTCTGATCTTGGGTCCATTTCATTCATTCTCTTTTTTTCTATTGAATTTTTTTTCATGAAAATTCTATCATTAGCTAAATATTGTTACTTTTTTTCATTTAATAAGTGGATTTTTTTTGAATAACTTTACATCATTATTATGATTATTGTGAATAAATACATAAATATTATCATTAATACAAAATGATCTAGGTTGATATATTACAATGAGATGATGATAATGATGATAATACAAAGATAGTAAATAAATTTTGTTGTTGTTTATATATGTCATCAACTAAACACAAACCAAACACCATATAACAATAGTTATTCTGAGAGAGAGAGGTCTATATGTCTATAATTCGAATATTTTTTTTCTCTTTTTATATTTTGTAACATTGAATTTTCATATGTGTTGCGTCAGCTGCTTCAATTGTTTTTTATTTCACTTCCTTTTGCTCTATGTTTTTATACAACATCAGTCAGTCGTCTGCTAGAATCTCTTGTTTTATTTTCTTTCAGTCATTCATTCACTTTAGATGTGTTAATTTAGTTTCACCGAATTACTTCATTTCCAACAACAAACACACACACAAAGAATAAATGACGCCTTTGGATTCCCTTGGACAATAGTAGATTTTTATTTATGTGAGGGGAATAAAGTATGGTGGGATATTATCTTTTTTTTTGTTTTTGCTTTTCTTTTGTTGTTATAAAAAGAAATTTTGGTTAGTTTTCACATCATCCATCCATCCATTCATTCATTCATTCATTTTGTTTCATTTCATCGTATACATTCATTCTATTCATTTATTTTCTCACTTTATTTTGTTTTGTTTCTCATTTTCGTTTCGTATATTACAATTCTGTCGACAACGACAACAATAACAAGGATGATGATAGAAAAATAAAGATACAGAACGAAATGAAAAAAAACGATGCTGGATCAACTCAAGAAATGATCGAAATTTCATATGGATGTTGATAAAGAAAGTTCTTCAAAAGAACAACAAAAAAAAATTGTCAACCTTTATCTAATTCATTTTATATTTCTTATATGCTTTTTATATTTTTTTCTTCTTTCATTGATTTAATTGCGATATCGATATACTAATTTGATCTAAATTTTTTTGTTCGTCATATTTTTTCAATAGGTTAATTATTCTCATTACGTTTGTTTTAAGCATACGCCCATTACTGCATGTTTGATTTTTTCCACATAAAATCTATCAATGAATTTTGATAAAGAATACCCAAGGAAAAAGGATCAATCTTTATTATTATTTTTTTTTTGTAATCTCAATTCATATGAATGAATGTTGAACATGTCAAAAAATATTCCTTGTTCAATATACTATATGGTTAACTGATTGGTCGATTGTTTCGAATCCAATTGATTCGACCGGTTTTCGTTTATTCATCCATAATCATCATCATCATCATCATCGACGGCTGGTGTCGATACAGAATCGAACAGCATAACTAGAGAATGTAATAAGTGTTTATGAAATATTAGCAGTTTGAAACAGAAACAAATGAAAAAAAAGTTTTCTCGTTGCAAAAAAATGTATGAAAAATCGAATAGTCGAAATCCATAGTTGTCGACATGTGAAAAATCGATCATAATTATAAGTCCTGTCGGTCGCTCGGTCGTTCGTCATCCGTAAGTCTAATATTGGTTTGGGAAAAAAAACGACGTCAGGTTCAAGATGACCTAGAATTATTATTATTATTATTATTAGAGCTATAGAATTCCGTCATATTTGCAACATTTATTACAATTTCATGCTGCACTGTATACTGTAATACCATTACCAAAATAAATTATCACAAGAAAAACTAGAATTTTGGGCAATAATAATAATTTCGATTACCAATTTCTTATTACAATTCTAAAAAATGGTCCATTTTTTCTGACAGTAATGATTAACTCTTTTTTTATTTGATCATTTTTTTCTTTATTTGTTCAAATTTTTTGTTTGTTTAAAGATTTAATGTCAGATTAGTCAGATCGTTATTTGATTATATTTTTATTTGTCGAATAAACCACTCCCAAACCTCAAAATGAGAAAAAAAATGAAAATTTATCACTTACTAGCACGAATATTGACATCTTGACTTTGAATGGAACCAACTTGATTTGTTGCCACACAACGTACGATACCCGAATGAACATCCTGACGATAGGATGTAGCTGAAAATGGTAAATATACAAGCTGTGTTGTAAGCAAATCTTTACGTATCTGTCGTAATCCAGGTATTTGTATCAATGGTGTTCCATCTGCACGTGTCCATGTGATTGTTGGTGCTGGTATTCCTAATTCAATCAATTCCGAAAATTTTTTTCAATATAACATATTATTTATTTCAAATTTAATTTACCTTTGGCACTACAGGTTATAACACTGCCTGTATCATTTAAAAATATCACCGAACTAGGTGGTTCAACCAGAAATTCTGGTCCACTTTTTTCATTTGATTTTAATGGTGAAGGCAATGATGATGACGATGATTGTGATGACAAACTATTTGCTATTGTTATTGTTGATTGAGCTATTTTGAAAAAAAAATAATAGAATTTATATAAGAAAAATGATTTTTTTTAAAATAAAGATAAAATATCCATTTACACTGATGTGTAAACAAAGTTATTATTATTATAAAGAATTATAATATGAAATTCATTGATTCTATCCGATACGGGATTGGTTTTTTATTTCTCTTCAAAATTGTTTTTTTTCTTTTCAAAATTTATTATTTAGATCGTTTCGTTCGTTTTTTCTTCTTTTGGTCATGTGTATGTGTATCATTCTTTCAACCATGATAGACCATTAACGTTTCGATTAATATTATTGATATGATTATTATTATTATTGTAACAAACAAACATTGTGACGACGAATTTGAACGATATATGGAATGGTAACATATACCATCTAATAAACAAGCAAGCAAACAAACAAACAAACAAACAAAAAAGGAAAAAAATATTTATTTACGACGTAAATAAATAATATTTAAGCTTATTTCTTTTTTATCTTTGGAATAGTTACTATTCGGGTATTTATCGTCAACAACAACCAATAGGAGAGGATTTTACATCATCACCACTTCCTTTCATCATCATCATCATACACCCTTTCCCCATTTCACCCTGTAAATTTTCTTCTATTCAATGTGTTGTTGTTGAATATCCCTTCAATAAGAATGTTTTATGTTGTGTTTGTTTCGATTGAAAACGGTTTTTGTTGTTGTTGTTGTTGTTATTGATGATGATGATGAAAAAAAGGAGAAGATAATTTTACCGTTATAAGCGGATTATTTCTATACGGTCGTTTCTTTTTCTTCCTCTTTTTATACTTACATTTACGATTGCTATTTTCATTTCATCATCATCATCATCATTGAACAACAACAACATTCGTTTGGATAGATGGAGTTATTCTTCAGCATGATGATGAGTATGATTTGATTCCTTACTATTATGTAATTGATTATAACGAAAAACGAACGAGAAAAAAAAACATTCTGGAACCTCGATACAGCTTATAAATAATAATTGTTGACATTTAATAAAAATGTGGATATATAAATGTAAACAGACTAAATTTAATAATTTTTTTAGACAGTTAAACATAAACAACAACAACAACAACAACAACAACAAAAAATATTGCCATAATCTATCAACCCATCATAGATGACGGTACTTGACTGGATTGTTTGTTTATTTTTATTCGATAATCCACTATTATTGCTGTATGAATACGATGGGTTAATAAATTTCCTGTTTTTTTTGTTAAATATTGATACAAAAATAATGGATGTGAATATGAATCAGTTTTAAGAGAATATTTATGATAATCAAAACGCCCATCATCCAACAACATCATCGATCGCTTATGAATGACGTAACGGATTTTTTTTTTTTTTAATATCAAATTGAATTTTCAATAAAAAAAAGTTTCATTCATTCATTGTCACTTTATAAGTTTTATTTCAAGAATTCAACCAAGCGTTATAATCAAAATCTTTGAATGACATACACACACACATATGCACACTTTTTTGCGGTAAGCTTGTTGATCAATTTTAACCTGACAATTTTATGTGATGCTTGACAAAGATTTTCAAAAAAAAAGAAAAAAATTGGCTCATTCTTTCATGACATTGTTAACTCACTTTTTCTCTTTCTTTCTCAATTTCCATTAACATAAAAATTCAATTAATTTTTTTCTGTAAGTTTTGTCTGATTTTTTTTCACTATGATGCCAAAATATTTGTGGCTTTGGCTTTTTTTGATGGAATTTTTTTTCCTTTTGTGTTATAATCATCGAAGATCATCATATGGCAGCAGCGGCTGTGAGAGGGTAATCATCCAAATGGATGAATTCTTTAAAAGCATTGTTATTGGAAAGTTTTTTTTTCTCTCACTATTAATAAGAATTGAACTTTTTTTTTCAATTTCAAAAAAAAATTGAAATTTGCAAAACTTTTTTTAAAAACATTGTCTCAATTCAATGATTGGCCTATTACATAAACGTCTGATGATGATGATGATAATAATAGAAGTGATGAGGATGTCATGTTCATATCAAAGAATATGAGAGAGAGAGAGAGATGTATATGCGAGTGTGATCGATTGCCTTGTTTCAATTTTTTAAAATTTCATTTCAATTTTTTTTTTGTTAAACTTTGTATCAGAATCAATAATCATATCATGCAATTTTCAATTATTATTATTCTTACCAATATGAATGACCGTTGCAGAGATTATTAACATCATCAATAAATATTTACTTATTTGTATTTGATGTTGTTTTTCTTGCCAAAATATTTGATTATATTTGTTCATTTTTGGATAGTTTTTCTTCCTTTTCCTTTTTTTTTTGATGAAAATTTTCTCCAACAAAAATTTCAATCGTTCATCATTCATATAATGAAATTATTCATTTTTTTTTCTCAATCAAAAAAGAATTTTAAAATTTCATTATAAATTAATTGTCGTTTGATGCTGATGCCGTGTAATAATAATGATGATGATGGTTTTTTTTGTTGGTGGTAAAATTTTTCCTTTTTTGCATAATTTATCAAAAAAGAAAAAATGCAGGAATAAAAATGTACCTTTATTGAACCCAGTGAATGTTTACAACAGGAATAAAATTCAGTTGAATATGATTGAAAAAGATGGATAGAGTTGTTTTTTTTCGGAATTGAATGATTGAATAAAAACACTCTCGGTTTCAACAAAATAATATTAATAACATAGGTAGTAGGAAGAAGAAAGAAAAAATAAGCGATGGCGGCAAAAAATGTGACCGGAATGTTTAACCACCACCTGGTTTCCGTTCATGGCAAGCAAATAGAAATAAATAAATAAATAGGAAAAAAATTCTGACGTTTTTTTCACAAAAAAAAATTGAATGAAAAATAGATATAAATAGAATAGATGGATGGTTTTTGAAGCAAAACACACACACATACACAGGATAGGCAAAATTAGCGATCCAACCTTTTGCTCAATCATTGGCAACAAGAATTCAACTGTTAGAATTGGTGCTTTCAATTATTTGGTGAAAAAAAATTATTTATTCATCATATCTTGAATGTTGGTAGTGTGTTGTTGTGTGTATTATTTAATAACAAGCTTCTCAAAACAAGTTTATTGGTTAATTTATGAAATATAACATTTGATACAACGTCAATGTAATATAGTTATTTTTTTCTATAGGTCAAATAAAGAATCGGTCATGTTTTCGCTGAATTCAATTTATCAAAAAAAAAAAAAAAAAAAAATAAGGAAATATACTGATGATATATTTGCTTGAATTATCGAAGAAAACAAAATGAACTCTATCTAAAGAGAAAG